CGCATGGGACGTTTCTAGGCTGAGGACTCTCACTCCTACCAACTGCACCCAGGAGCTCGGAGGGTACCACTCACCCCACTCGGTTCTTACACGACACTGTTCAGGTCTCAACACGGCACGGCCGACCCTGGATGCCAGCCCAAGCTCAGGGGAGAGAAGGAGCCCAGCGGTTCTCCAAGCAAAACGGACTTACCACGTCACTCCCCTGCTATGAACCCTTCCATGGCTCCCCATTGCCCTCAAAATTGTGTTAAACACCTGTGTGTGGCCCGAGACCCTGCCTAACCTGGCCGTGACCCCATGTCCCCCAACTCTCCCCTTTGTTCACTAGGCCAAGCCACACTGCACATCCTGCCATTGCTCTGCTGTGCGTGCTGTCCCCTGTCCCCCCTCAGGGCCTCTGTGCACCCTTTCTCCTAACGTCACACTGACTTCCTCATCATCCAGGTCCCAGCTAACGGGGCCCTTCCTCGGAGGCCGTCCTTGGCTCCCTCAGAGCAAGCCAGGGTCCCCTTTTGAAACGACTATGTACTGAATTTTCTTAGGATTTGGTCACTGCCTGTATTCTTCCACTAGACACAAGCTTTCTGGGGGAGGAGATCACAGCTCTCTCCCAAGGCAACGGAGGACAGCGCTGAGAAAGCGGGTTCACATCCTGATGCCCAGCTGTGTAACCTTGGGTAAGTTACTTAACCTCTCTGTGCCTTAGTTTGCTCGCCTGTGCAAAGGGGATAAAAGCAGCACCCCTCCCCCCACCCTCTGGGGCGTTGACCAGCTGCGAACGGTGCCTGCCACCGCAGGGCTGGCTCTGTGTCACCATCGCCACGATACCTGCGGACCACTGAACGATCGGACAGTCTGTCCCGGGTCACTCCGTTCATTTCCAGGCAAAGCTGGCGTTTCGGATCTGCCGATGCTCAGCATGAGAACCGTCCTTCGGAGAGTTCTGGAGTCTTTCCCTTCCTTTCTCTTCCCACCACTATTCTTCGTCACTTTGCATCAAACACCAAACCCGTTTCCCGTCAAGCTGAGCTTCCCTGGTCCTGCTGCCGCCCGTGAACCAACAGCTGAGCGGCCTGAGGCTCACAGAGGCTAAGGGACCTGCCCATGGACACACAGCTAAAACATGCCGGAGATGGGGTCCAGCGACAGCGAGAGAGAAGTCCAATGCTTAAAGGCTACAAGTTAAAAATCTTGGAACACCATAAAAAACAATATAAAAGTGTAATGGGAAACTTTTACATAGTACAGCATGAAGATAGAGACCATTGTCCCATAAACACACGTGCATCAGCATTAAAATCATGGCCCAGACCACGTACATTCTTGTACCTGGGCACAGAGGGCCTGGGGTACCAGGCCAGCCCTCATCTCAGCCTGTGGACCGACGGCCTGCCTCTCCGGCAGCTCAGGTCAGAGGAAAAGGCCTGGGTTTCAGGGGAGCTCGTGAGGAGGTGGTATATCCTCGGGCTGGCACCCCCAGGCCCCGCCAGGCCAGCCCAGGCCACAGCCCGGCACTGTCACATGGGCAGGCGCCGGTCCGGGTCCCTGGTGCTGGGCGCGGGGGTGGGCGGACTACTTCCTGGCCCTGTTCCTGGGGTGCGGGGAGACCCCGGCCCAGCTGCCCTGCACCCTCCCTGGGCCTCCCACTACATCTGCAAAGTGAGGGAGGAGGGAGAAGGAGGGGGGCAGGAAAGAGGGAAGGTGGGGCTGGCCAAGTTAATAAAAACAAGGACCAATTTTCTCTCCGTGCCCCCCTGCCCTCCCCAGGAACTCCTGCTTCAGCTCATGGGCTAGCAGGAAGGGGGAAAAACATACCCCAAAAGGCCCCTGCCCAGCTCCAGGGGTGAAAGCTGAGGGCCCTCCCTCCTGGGCCCCACGAGAGGGTCCCCACCCCTCCCCTGACTCTGGAAGGGTAATGGGGGCACAGTGATGGGTGGTGGGCTTTCAGGGGAGTGCTACAGCTCACGCTACGGGGACAAGATCCCTTGCCAGCATTCCCACGGGCCAAGGGAGCCCCGAAACGCCTGCCCCACCCTTCACTCCATGGGGACCTCGGGGACCCTCGGAGGGAGTCTGAAGAGGGTGGGTAAGGGCAGGAGATGGAATCTGGGGCGGGGGGGGGCTTCACACTGTCAGGGGAGGGGAGGAAGGTCTATTGTGGACTCACTGAGAGGAACCGGCTGGAGCCAGTGTGGAATCCTGGCTTTGGGGGAATCCACCCCTGCACTCTAGGAGAACCCCCATCTCCCAGATAGTGGTCCCAGGGGCAGAACTAGGCACAGCGATGATGCAGGGCCAAGTGGTACAGGTTACCGGCCCTGAGCCCAGGCCTCACTCGCAGATCTGAATCCCGGCTTCACAATTTTTTGGGTGGACAAGCAATTCGACTCTTTGGTGCCTCAGTTTCCTCCTCTGTAAAATCAGGACAGTGGCTGGACCTACCTCCCAGGGTGGGAATGGCTGGTGCCTGCAGTCAGGGCCCCACCACAAGCTGTGATGATCATTATTCTAGAAGGACTCCTCCAGCTCACACCCTCAGTGCAGGTACAGCCCTGGACATCTTTGGGTCTGCATACACGCGCGTGCACACACTGACGGGCACCACCTGCCCCAGACAAAGCCCTCCTGGGGCCAAGTTTAACATGCTGGGTTGCTGAATGACTCACCACCCCTGGCTGGAATGCACTTCCTGGAACAAGTCACCGCAGGTAGGCCTAGGGGGGGCCCCACCTCCCGAGGTCTGGTAGAGATGAAAGAGTGCAGGTCCCAGCATGCCCAGCTCCAGCAGTGGGCAGGGGAACCCCAGTTTCAGAGGCCTGCAGGCCTGAGTTCCAAACCTAGCACCGAGCTCAGATACATCTCTCTGTCTCTCAGCTTTAGTCTCTGCCTCTAAATGGGGACACTAGTGCCAACCACATGGGGACAACTGCAGATCACAGAAAAAGATTGGAAAGTGCAAAGACCAAGGGCCCAACAGGCCCCAGTGTTAGGAGACTTGCTGGAGGCATGGGCAGCCAAGGTGCTCCGATTTTCCCCCCGATGTGCTTCTAAACCATCAGCACTGTGGGACTGGAGGCGGGAGGGGGGGTTCCTATTTACCAAGGAACAGTCACCATAGCTCAAGGGAGAGGAGGACAGAGAAGCAGCTCCTGACATCATCATTGTTGGAAGATAGAGAGATTGCGTCTGTCTGGAGATGGGGCAATCCCAGAGGGCTTCTCAGAAGAGGTGGCATTAACTTCGGTTCTGAAGGATCAATAGGAGTTTCAAGACCATGAGATCTGTGAGACCACTGTCTAGCTGTTACCGGCCTTGGGCCAGTGACTCACCAGGTGGCAGGTAAGTGAGTAGCACAGGTGTAAGACAAGACGGAGCAACGGGTTCCCGGCAGGGACCAGACAGGGAAGCCCAGTCAGGCATCCCAAGTCACACTGTTGAAATAACATTGCCTGACCAGATAGAACGAGTACACCAGCTAAATGCTGTCCGTGGGCTGCAAGACCTCAACCACTGAAACCTTCCAGACTTCCATTGCATCTCCTACCAAATCGGAATCACGCTGATGCCCAGTGCACATGATGGCTGGGAAAGGTAAATGAGTCCACACACACGAAGTGCCTGGTGCAGCGCCTGGAACACGTTCAACCAAGTGGAGATGCGCGGGCAGGCAGAGGGTCGGAAGAGCAGAGGGGGGACCCCCAGGCAGACCCTAGGAACAGTGAGAGACCCCACTGAGGGGCGGGACAGGGCAGCTGGCTGAGCTGTGACGGGTCCAACCCTGCCTTATCACACCAGGCTGTGTGGCCTCCCACAAGTCCCTTCACCTCCCAGAGCCTCAGTCTCCCTCTCTGTAAAGTGGGGGCGATGATAAAGATCCTTCCTCCAGAGACTGGTGTGAGATCGAGGTGCCACAGAAACCAGCAGACGGAGCGCTTGGAACAGACCTGACAGGAACCACCGTTAAATGACCGAACGCAGCCTCGGGCGGGGTTTCTCAGCCTTGGAACTACTCGTGTGCAGAGCTAGAGAATCCTCTGTCGTGGGGGGCTGTCCTGTACGTTGCAGAGTGTGTAACAGCACCCTTGCTTTCCTTCTTTTTTTAAAAAGATTTATTTATTTATTTGAGAGAGAATGAGAGCGTGCATACAGGGAGAAGCAGACTCCCCGCGGAGCAGGGAGCCCGATGCGGGGCTGGATCCCAGGACCCTGAGATCATGACCTGAGCTGAAGGCAGACGCTTAACTGACTGGCCCACCGAGGGGCCCCATCACCCCTGGTTTCTACCCACTAGATGCCAACAGCCCCCTCACATCCAGCTCACAACCAAAATATCTCGACATTGCCCAGTGTCCCCTGGACTAGGGGACCAGCAGATAATAAGCTGCAAAGACAGATGTGTCTTAAACACTGAAGGTCTCCGCTGCAGAATCAGTCTGGCCTCAGTCTTCCCATCAGCAAAACGGATACAATGATGGTTTCTTTGGGGTTGTAGGGAGGATCCCAGGGAAGCAGAGATGTGGAGGGAAGAGGCCTTTGCAAGTTACAAAGGGCCACGTGCAGGCTGGCCCTGCACCGTCCCCAGCCCCTCTGGTCGGCTGGAGGCTGACTCGTGCCTTCAGAAGGAGGACCCACCCTGAGTTCTGAATGTCACCCTGAGCACGTCCTTAGGTGTATAAGGACAGGACAGGAGGGCAGGGGCTGTCCCTGCTCACTGCGGTAACCCCAGAAGGACCATAGTGCTCAGCATACAGCAGGTGCTCAATAAATGCTGGATGAATAAGCAGGCGGTCACAGTACCGAAGCTCAAAGCTCAGGGCAAGAAGAGGCGCCCAAGGGAGAGACGGAGACACTCTAGCCGGGCCAGCAGTCCCTCAGCCAGCCAGCCAGACACCATTTCCTGTCTGTGGAAGTGAGACATGCCCTTTGAACTCTCACTTCCTGAGCCCCTCTCCCCACTCTGGGGTCTGGCAGGAGGCGGGCGGTGGGGAGATACTCACATTCCTGAAGGAGGGAAGCCCCGCGGAGCCCAGCCACCTCCGCAGAGCCCGCGGGAAGGCCCCGTGGTCCCGCTCGGCCTGAAGCACGTGGGCCTCCAGGAAGGAGACGTGGTGCCCAACCATCTTGACGAAGGCCTGGCGGAGAGAAGGGAGAGCCAGGGATGCCACATCTGCCACGGACTGGAACACAGTCCTGGCCGCGCTGCTCCAGCCTGTGGAGAGGGGCTGGCCTCGGTGTGTGCTCCCGGGGAGGTCACACGGGGCCTGCGCAGCGGGGACATCCTCAGACGCCCTGACCGTAACAGTAACAGCTCCCCGGGGGGGCCTGGCCAGACTTCTACTGTGTCCTCTCACCTTCTCCCCATGGGGACCCTAGTTTTAGCCTCTATGTTACAGAGGAGGGACACTGAGGCTCAGAGGGGTCGGGTCGTCTGACCAAAGTCATGCGGCCAGCAAGTGGCCGAGAGAGGAGTCAGGTGCATATCCATCAGACTGCAGAGCCTTCTTTATTAAAGATGAGCTCTTTAGAAATTGCCAAAATGCTCACTTTCATAGTTGATGGGGATAGCAGAGAGTCTCAAACTCAGAGGCTGCTAAGGCGCAGGCAGGTGACCAGCAGGTGAAGGAGGGCTGAGTGGAGGCTAGGATGGCCCAGAAAGCTGGGTCCAAGCCCATGGGGGCCACTCCGCTCCAGGCCTCTGATACAAAATTCCCAGGTGCAAAAACAAAACAAAACAAAACAGAGAGAGAGAGAGAGAAGAGGGAGAGAACACTCTGGGGTCAGACTCTGTGGATTAGAATCCAGGCTCCGTCACTTACTAGTTGTGTGCTTTCTGGCAACTTACTTAATTTCCACAAGCCTCAATTTTCTTACCCATTAGATGATAATAATGATGGTACTACTATACTGAAGACAAATAATACCAACCTTGCTAAGCAGTTAAGTGCTTAGCACATATCGACCTCAATAAATGTCAGGTATCATTTTGAAAAAAAAAAAGAAAACAAAAACCTGTAGATTTTATGAAAAGTCTCCAGTTTTTATCAATGTTAGCAATAAATTCACAGTTAAAAAAAAATAATATTGTGTAGGCCCAGAAAAATTCAACCCACCCATCTGCCTCCTTTTTGTGGTATCTCTTCATGCCTTCCTCCACACTGAGCACACGTGAGTGTCCGTGTTCGTGCATGTACGTGTTCCTGCGTGTGTTCGTGTGTGTCTGCATGTGCATGTATTTAAGTGTGTGTGCGTGGTCACGTGTGTGAACGTGTTTGTGTGTTGCATGCATACATGGCTAAGGCCACTGAAGAGCCATGTCACAAAAGCCTCACCTCTGTGGACCTGCCTTGTTCCCACAGTGGACTGGAAGAGAGCTTCTCTCACCAGGAAGAGGAAGGAGGACATCTCAGGGCTGGGCCCTACAAGGGAGCCTCCCTTCACTAGAAGGAAGCTCATGCCCCAACCCCCCCCCCCCCCCCCCCCAAGGCCTACAAGGAGCCCACCATCCCCAGCCCTGCCCGCTCATCCTCCCACACACCAGGCACACCGGCCTCCCTTGGGTTCCCTGAAAATGCAGGCCCCACTCACCACAGGGCCCTTCCACCTGCTCTCTCCAGGCCGGGTCCTGCTCTCTGTCCTTGACGGGGTGAACCCTGCCCATCTCTCAGGCCCTCCACAGACAGGCCTTCCCTCACTGCCTCATCTACCACAGCCCCCGGCACTGTGGCGACCCCCGGTTTCCCTGTCTTCTTTTTTTTTTTTTTAAAGATTTTATTTATTTATTTGAGAGAGAGAGAATGAGAGAGAGCACATGAGAGTGGGGAGGGTCAGAGGGAGAAGCAGACTCCCCGCCGAGCAGGGAGCCCGATGCGGGACTCGATCCCGGGACTCCAGGATCATGACCTGAGCTGAAGGCAGTCGCTTAACCAACTGAGCCACCCAGGCGCCCTCCCTGTCTTCTTCTTAGCCCTCCTCAGCCTCTGAACTTCCTGTCTGCTTATTCACAATCCATCAGCCTCCAGAATGTAGGTCCTGAAAGATCAGGTGCGGAGTCCGAGGCGGTCCCAAGGCCCACACCAGAGCCCGGCGGGCCCGCAGGGGCTCCGCTGTTTGGAGGGCGCGGACGCGAGCAACCCGAGCAAAAAGATGCCTTTGCGCCCCTGCCGCCCCAGGGTTCTGGCGGGGGCAGAGCTGGAAGGTCCGATGAGCCGCACGAGATGTGGGGGGGACGGGAGACAAGGGGCCACAGGGCCGGGGAGCTACCCCCAGCAGAGGCACATCTGCTTGTGAAACACAGCAGAGGGTCCCACGGTCCCCGTCCTCCCCGTCGTCCCCGTGCTCCCCGTGCTCCCCGTGCTCGCGTCAGTCTGCTGGGGAGTGTGAGGCGACGCTGGGGAAGCGTGCTGCTGGCGTTGGAAGAGCCTCCGAAGGGCCCTCCAGCGAGAGGCCTGACTCGGGGAGGCTCCAACATAGACGGGCCGGGGGGGACAGCGGGAGGGCCACCTCCTCTGTGGCGCTGGTGGCCGCGCCTTGGGAGTAGGGGGGACTCCCACCTACCTCGTCTTTTCTACAATGAAACTGTGCGACTTTTATGATCAGGAGGAGGGAGGGAAGACAGGGAGGAGAGAGGAAAGCCCCCTTGTTCCCAAACATACTGGCAAGTACTGACGGGTGCGAACACTTCTGGCAAAAGGCCCCCCGGCTTCAGACCAGGGTGCGGTCCAGGCAGGAGAGCCAACACTGGGCACTGAGGAGCGGTCAGGAGCAGATGTCTGCCACCCCAGCTCTACCCCCGCCCAGCTGTGTGGCCGTGGGCAGATCACCTCACCTCTCTGTGCCTCCCTGCTTCCTCTGCCAAAGGGGACCCATAATGGGACCTTCCTCCCGGGGCGGTGGCGGGTGGAGCACCTTCTTACCAGGAAAGCACTTCGAGTCCCTGGCTCACAGCAGGTGCCCTGTATGGATTCGTTTTTAATACTAAAACTGAGAAAGGCCCAAGTGCCTGCCCGAGTGGTCACCCTGTGGTCCCCAAGCCCCTCCTGGCAGGCGGCACTGATCTAAGGGTGGTCCTGAGCTCCCTGGAAGGGCCCGGGGTCCACAGCCAACTGGGCAGAGTGGCGAGCAGCTGCCCCGGCCAGACTCACCTCTCGGCCTGTGGCAGCAACGACCAGAAGAGTAGAGTGGTCCTCACCAAGCACCTAAATGTGCCCCCACGGAGGTCCACGTCCTCACTCCCAGAACCTATGAACGTATTACCTTCTAGGGCCAGAGGGACTTTGCGGATGGGATTAAAGATCCTGAAATGGGGAGATGATGCTGGATTATCCAGGTGGGCCCCATGTCATCACAGGGTCCTTGTCAGAGGGAAGCAGGAGGGGCAGAGTAAAAGAGTCTGGAAGAAGCTACGCATGGGGTGGAAGCCATGAGCCAAGCAATGCCGGCAGCCTCTGGAAGGTGGGCAAGGCCCGGACCCGGAGGCTCCCCAGAGCCTCCAGAAGGAACCAGCCCTGCTGACAGCTCAGTGTTAGCCTATAAGACACATCTTGGATTTCCAATCTCTGGAGGATTGTTAAGACACAAATCCGTGTTGTGTTAAGTCCCTAAGTCTGTGGCTATTTGTTACGGTTATAGGAATGCTTTGTGGCCGGGTCTCTCCTGCTGGAACACGGCCACGGACGGCCCCTGTCTCTCTCACTGTGAGAGCCCCGCAGCGGCACACAGTAGGCCCTCAGCATGAGCAGACTGCCTGCCACGGGAAGGGCTGGGCCAACCCAACGAGGCAAGAACCAGGGCTTCAAATCCTCACATTTTCTTTCCTCTGTCAAACGTGTGGAATAAAATTCAAATGAATCAGCTATTCCAAGGGCAAAGTTTTAATTATATTCCTGCCTCATTCTCTCCTGACAAGAATGTTAACTCTCTGCTAACTCCAGTGTGGACTGCCACGCTCCTTTCCTCCACGGCTCAGAGGGGCTCACATCCCCTCTGTCCAGGCGACCGCGATTAAACGGCAAGCTCCTCCCAGCCTCCCGGGCTCTTCACTGTGTAAGGAGCCAGGACCCCAGGCTGAGGGCCCCGGGAACGATGAAGAGCTTGGGCTCCAGCGGATGCCAGCTGAAGTCCCGGCTTCAAGGCATGAGTGGTGGGACCCCGGGAAAGTGGCTTCCCTCCTGGAGTTTATGCTCCTCCTCCGGGAGATGGGACGGTGAGGGTGTCAACTTTGTAATGCAGCAAGGAGAAAAACGAGATGCCCTGGGCTTAGCCTGGGGCTCCCACAAATAAGATGTGGGTGAAGTAAGTCAGCAATGAGGCAACAGGGCATGGTGGGGATTGTGGTAAGCTGCAGGACACAGGCCCCATCTGAGGGGCGGCGGCCATTAGCTCTACAAAAACACAGCCCAGGGCTTGGAAATGTTCTACTTCTCAATTTGGGTCATCCTCATATGGGAGTTGATGTGTGTAAAAATGCACTGAGCCATACACTTACGATGTGTATACTTCATGTATTTAGACCTCGAGAAATAAACCTTGAGATTAAAGTATTTAAAGTATTTAAAGAAATGTGGGCTAAGTGCTGTTAAAGCTTCTGAATTTCCAAAAGCGGCTTAAAAGTCAGATTCTTATTTAAAAAAGTAGCCTAATTTTTAAGTGGGGTACTTTATATAAATTCGTGTTTGTCATATTTTTAAAAATACCATGTAAGGGGCGCCTGGGTGGCTCAGTCGGTTAAGCAGCTGCCTTCAGCTCGGGTCATAATCCCAGGGTCCTGGGATCGAGCCCCTCATCGGGCTCCCTGCTCGGCGGGGAGCCTGCTTCTCCCTCTCCCTCTGTCTGCCTCTCTGCCTACTTGTTTTCTCTCTCTGCCAAATAAATAAATAAAATCTTTAAAAAAAAAAAAAAAACACGTAAGCACAGCCCCTCTTTGGCCACCAACCCCCTGCACTGGGTCTAACGCCTGATGTGCTCGAGACCGGATTGGCATTTCAGAAGAGAGGATGAAAGACCCAGAACAAGCCCACGGATCTCGCAAAGAAAGCTCACGATCCCAGACACACCTCTAGCTGGTCCACTTTGGCATAGATGCCACGCATTTCTGTCACTTTGGCCTGAAGGAGCGGGATGTTTTCCTCCAAGATCTGTGAAGTGTCGCTCCTGATCTGCAAGAAACAAAACAGCTCATCAGGCCCTCTGCCCTGGTACCCCAGGCTCCAGCCGGGCTCTCGGGTCACCCAGGGTCTGCAGAGACCTCGCGGATGGCCAAGAGGCCGAGCGGCAGCCTGCACAGGGATAGCCCGCCGCCTCTCGGGCCCCAGACCTACTCAGGTGTTACTTACTGAACCGCCGATTGTTGCCCCCGCAAACACCTGACAAAAGCAGTCCCAAACGAAAGAGCCCCATTTTCCAAACCACTCAACTGGAGCAAATGGAAAGAAATCGAAATCTCCTCTCTAAACCCAAGTTGAGGTAAGTTTTCACTGCCCTGAAATTAATGATACTAATAAGTCGATAATAATTACTAACATTCATTAATAATGTGAATGAAAACCACAGCTTTCCTGTATCCGAGTGCGCCCTTCTCTGTGGACGCTGCGTTAAGCATCCCCCCCACACAGCATCTCTTTTAAGTTTCCACTGCTTCTGCTTGGAAGGGCTCCGAAAGTGGCTATGACCTTTACGAAGCCACATCCTTCCCTTGGGCACTGAAATCGGACGCCTATGCCTCGATTTTCTTTAAGAGCCAAAGGACCAAGCCTAACCCCTCGGTGTGTGGGAGAGAGAGATTCCATCTCCACGTTAGCATCTCCTTATGGTGCAGGGAGGCGGCGAAAGTTGCTCTCAGATGCTAGGGAGCATTGGGACCCCCTGAGGGAGACCTTTCCAATGCTGATTCCCAGGCCCTTCTATGTCTGGGGTCAGCTGGGAATCTGTGTTTTCAGCTAAGCTCCAAAGCCATGCTGGAGTGGGGGTGTGGGGACAGTCGCAGAACACCAGTGGGAACACCAGGAGCTGGGCGCAGGACTCAGCCTGGTGTCTGAGTTCGGTTCTACCCACTGTGAGCTGTGTGACCCTGGGCAAGTCACCGCACTCCTCTGAGCCTGCCTTTGCTTCTTGCTTCCTTGGCATGCAGGTGAGGAGAGAACATCTGGCACAAGTGTTTGGCACAGCTCCTGACATGGTCCCCAGTGACCACTGCCTCCTGGTATTCACACCTGCTGTATTCAAGCCCCTGTGGGATCCCCTCCCCTGGACCGTGAACCGGCCCTGGCGATTCGCTTCTAACAGAGACGACTCAGCCAAAAGGAGAGCGGTCACTCTGGAGACAGGGTTCCAGAGGACTGTCCCCCCAGCTTGCTGGCCTTTTCTCTCTCTCTCTCTCTCTCTCTCTCTCTAGCTCATGCACGCTCCCTCTCCCTCCCCCATCTTCTTTCTCACCGAGCCTCTCCATCACCAGCCAATTGCCATGGCAGTGAGGCCTGCGTGGCTAGGGACAGAGGAACTGAGGCACGTAACTGCTGGCTTCGCTGGACGTGGTCCTGCCCCAGCAGAAGCAACACCTTGCCAGGAGGACCACAGGGACCACAGGGACCACCCAGCATGGCCGCACGGACGCCTGACCCCCAGGCGCCGCCAAGTAGTGAGGACCAAAAGTTTTGGGACAGCGTGTTAACCAACAATCGATAACTAACACAGTGACAACTCAGCACAAAATTTTAATTTCAAAAATGCCTGCAAAACTATCTGTTTTTCCTCCTTTTTCTGCCTAACACATGAGGCTTCTTGTGGTTCTCCTGGAATTCTGCTCCCATCGTCCTTCAGGATGTGCCCTGGGTCTCAGAAGCGACCCCATTCCCTGAGTGTCCAAAACCAAACTCTTCCCTCCTGGTCCCCCTCCTCTGGTCACAGTGCTGCCATCTCCCTGGGCACCTGGCTCCAAGTCACCGTCCTGGGTACACTCTTGTCCCACGTCCTGGCCCCACAAGGGCACAGACAGGTCCTGAGAGGGTGGCATCTGGCATTGTGCCGCCTGGCCTCCGTCTCTGCCCTGACCTCCCCGTGCCTCGGTTTCCTGGTCTATAAGATGGGGACCATACAGTACTTCTCTTGAAAGAATGCTCTGGAGGTTAAACAAGACCACCTCTGACTGGATGGGGCCCACACATGTACCTCGTGTGGTTCGCAAAGTGTCTGAGTTTTTTAATTTGACTTGATTTCCAACTTTAAGATTCAAGCGGGGCTCTTAGGAGAAATGGCTGATTCTAGAGGTGGGGCAGGGAAAACAAGCCCCTGGAGACTCTTCTAGTTCCAGAACGTAAGGGAGTGTTTTTTGGTTGTTTTTGAACATATTTTTCCTTAGGTAATCTCTATGCCCAGTGTGGGGCTCAAACTCACGACCCTGAGATCGAGAGTCGCCTGCTCCAGTGATGGGGCCAGCCAGGCGCTCTGTAAGGGAGTGTTTACACAGGAGCCAACTGGAAAGAGCCAAATGGCCGTAGCGGGAATAATCTGGACAAGAGAATACATAAGGCGATATGGGATTATAACTCGAAGGACAACAGGAATCCATGAGAGTCTGTCAGGAAGAAATGACGGGACACAGGCCACGGGAAGGGGACCACGGGGGCCAAGCGCCCCTGACATGATGCCACCTCTGTGGATTCTCTCCAGAAACCCGCCACCCCCGTCCAACCACCAGAAAACCATCAGACAAACCCAAGCTGAGGGACCCTCTACAAAATACCTGACCAGAGCTCCGCAAAACTGCCAAGGTCACGAAAAGCCAGGAAAGACTAAAACGTCACAGAGGAGGAGACCAAGTGGACAGGACAACCGAATGCACCGTGGGACCTTGGCCAGAAAGAGGAAATCAGTAGGGAGCCTGCGAAAGGAGAATCAAGTGTGGAGCTTAGTGAGCAACGCACCCATGTGGGCTTCCTAGTTCTGGTGAAGGTACTGTGGCCACGTGAGATGCTCGCCCCGGGGGGGGGGGGCTGGCTGAGGGGCGTGTGGGAACCCTCTGTACCATCTCTGCTGTCTTCCTGTAAATCTAAAACTATTGCAAAACAAAACATATAAACATGGCTTTAAAATACTCAAGTGAGGGGCGCCTGGGCGGCTCAGTGGTTAAGCGTCTGCCTTCGGCTCAGGTCATGATCC